ACCCCCCCCCCTCCCCCTTCCCGGGTTTTAACGAAACCAGTGGCATCCTTTAGAGATGGTAGAAATCTTATGGTAGAAATCTTTCCACACTCCACATTTTGTACACTCCTCATTTTGTATATTCCTCTTCTTGTACACTCCGCACTCTGCGTTTTCTACCTAACCAGTTGGGTTTACCGAGAAACAACTCCAGCGTAGTGGTCAGAGCGGGTTTTGAACCCACGACCTCCGGTTTTCAAGTCCGACGTCCCTGAACCACTCGCCCACGCTGCCTCCCTTGCAGGTTATTTCTTGATATCCCTTGTTCACAGTGCGTTGCTGATTTATTTGTAAACATCTCATTCTTTTGTGTGAGTGTTTGTCACAATATTATTATTTTTTAGGGCCCGTACGCAAGGGGTTAATAAGATTTGTTTGGCTCTGCCTAAAATCTCGACAAATTTTGTCTCCACTTAAAAACACCAAAATATTCAATAACCACAAGTGTCAATCACGTTGAAATCTAACACCTTCCTTTGGGTTCCGTTCGCGGGAAAGTGACCTTTAATTATCGAGAGATAAACGGTTACCTGTCTTGCTTCGGCGTTTTATTGCTTGTAATTTTTTTTTCTTTATCGTCCTTCAAGCCATTCAGTTTGCTCTGCGAGCCGTATAGCTTGTATGGAGTCGCATTCAACATCTCTAAGTAAGAATTATAAGGTCTTCGTCATTCTCATCTTCACAGCTCGATTGCGGCGCAAAAATTAAATATTTTGGCGAGCTTCTGCTGTATGTATAGACTCTAAAAAGCGAGATCAAATTTCCTTGATTGACATTTTTAGTCATATTAACACCAGATGTTGCTAAAACTAGTAACGGGGAACGGGGAAGGGGAACCGAGAGCGGGAGTCTGGGAACGAGTATACAGTGGTAACCCGCCTGAGAATTCAGAATGGCGGACAAAGGAAAAGAAAAGGGAACGATCTGAGGAAATGTGAGGAAGTGGTACGGTTGTAAACGTGAGTATCCACCGGCTACGTCCCCAGATGACCAGTACGTTCTTGTTAGAGCAGAGTCCGATTGGTACTGGGATGAACAAAGCATGAAATGGCGCCTGGGGTGAAAATTCAGTCGGTGTTATCACATGCCACCCCGATCGGTCAGGCCACAGTCGTTCTGAAATAGAATTTCAAGCCTTCACAGTCTTGTCATATCTACTCGCTTTGTGTTCGACCTGTCATGTCAATATTTAAAAATAGCAACACGCAATAGAATATCGAGAACAAGTGACATAACACATGACTATCTTTGAACGTGGGTCGTCCGCTGTCTTGACTGTCTTCAAGTTCGGTAGCATGGTGGCCTTTCGGAGATGGGCAATTCTGCTGGCAAATCAGGTAAGCAGCAGATATATAACCTGTGGCCTGGCCACTTTGTTAAAGACAAAATATATGAGAAACGAGCAAGGAATATTCCAGAATAATGCTGGTGTTGGTGAAAGATGACTGCGGAAAAGCGACCACGTGACACTCGGTATGTTTTTAGATGACATGTTGTCACGAATGCGTATCAGACGAGAAACAACCTTTATTCTCAGTTTGCCTTTTGTATCCAGTCTGCAGTCTGCATTTTGCACCGACCGATTGAGGTAGCATGTGAAAATACCGATTCGATTTTCTCCCAAGGCTCCATTTCATGCTTTGTTTATCCCAGTACCAATCGGACTCTGCTATAACAAGAACGTACTGGTCATCTGCGGACACAGCCGGTAGAAACTCACGTTTACAACCGTAACACTTCCTCATATTTTCCCAAATTGTTCCCTTTTCAAGCCTTTTTTCTTTTGTCCACCATTTTGAATTCTCAGACTCCCGTTCCCGGTTCCCGGTTCCCCGTTCGTAACTTTAGTGACATTCTTTTAACGCCTGCAAAATCTGATAGTTTTGACGCTTGACAAAGATTTGTCCCGCTCCGAGGCAAAACGACGGCGCTTTTAAAGTTTGTTACGGCTTGAAAAAATGTTGGTAGGAAGAAAAACACCGTACGCACTTGTAGAACGCAACTGATGACAAATATTTTTGCATCGCCTGGAGCGTGCGGGCCCTAAGTTGTTTGCACTTTTGCGTTGCTGATACATTATGAAAATTACGTTAGTTTTGCGGGAAAAAGGGATGTGAGAAAAACATGTTGCGATATGATAATACAACTAATAAAATAGCGAGAGTCAGAAAAATGAGGAACACTATGGTTCGATTTAGAAGCATAACGTGTGACCCCCTGTGTCGTAGAAGGAGTTCCGGAACTTGAATAAGGAATATTGAAGTGATCCTTTGGAAGATGATAATGATACTTGTTTCGTGACAAAAGCGATATAGGACACATCCGAAGTTAATATAGAGCGTTTGCTAGTTGCTGAGATAATTTACACTTAATTACGTTGTGAGAGATTTTCTCCTCGGCGACAAATCCTGTTCTGGAAAATTTTCGTTACCACAATATTAGCATAAACAGAAACAGCTGTCTTTTCAAAAGGATTTTATGTCAGCATTTGACCCTTTCGGCTCCGAGTCAAGTAGTAACATAAACTTATTTACAAGGGAGTGGATGTTTCTATCTTGGTTCGTCGCTTTCGTGACAAAGTTGGAC